ATATATATATATATATATATATATATATATATATATATATATATATATAATTGAAGTAAATTGTATAAAAAGAAGTGTATAAAACAAGAAAGAGAAAGACAATTGGACAGAGAACTGTATAAAAACGAAGTGTATAAAACGAATTGTATTATAATAAGTGTATAGAACGATTATATACAATTTGAATTCGTATAAAATGAGAAACAGAGAAAGACAAAAGAGACTTGACAAGAAATATACAATTGAATTGAATTGTATAAAATGAGAAAGAGAGAAATTAGATATAATATGAAAATTGTATAAAACGAGAAAGAGAGAAAGGCAAAAGAAACTGGGCAGGGGGTATTTTTATTAGGAAAAATAACTTAAATACACAATTATAAGTTTAGTATTCTCTAACTTTCCCTTCTTTTTTTAAATATTACATAATTCTTTTTTTTTTAATTTTAATAGAAGTTTAGAGATACATAGTGTTCTCTCTCCTATAACACACATTTCCTCAATCTTTTGAATCACTTTTTGAATTTTGAATTATTAATTTTAATTAAAAACGTTTCACAACATTTAATATGAAATTTTGAATTTCAAAATTCAAAAAATTTTGAAAATTGGACCATTGTTCTTCTTCTTCTTCTTACTCCATCATCCGTCTATAGTCTTCTTCTTCTCCTTAATCTATCATCTGTTCTTATTTTCTTATTTTCTTCTTCTTGTTCATTGCTATATTACATCAGCCGTCTCTAGGTCTTCTTGTTCTTCTTACTCCATCATCGGTTCTTTTTTTTTTTTTGTTCATTGTTCTATTACATCATATTAATTGATCCTTTTACTAATAGAAGGATTTATGATTCGGACAATGAAAATTGGAAAGAAAATAGAAAAAAGTCTTTGCATGATCCTATGAATGTTCGAAAGGATTCAAACAAAGATTTTGGCGAATCATCTAAATCAAAGGTTGACAAAATACACCAAAAAAAGAAAAAAAGAAGCAGCAACCATTGTTGTCGAAATTAGTAAAAAATTTAGTAAAGGAATC